TTTATATTTATATATATATATACTTTTTGAGTTTATGCATACGAACTTTCTTCATTGTACATCTGTACATCAATCATCGTACTTGTGTGTACTGCTAGATTTGGACGTATTTAGAAACTTATTTGATGTCATTTTATCTTACATCAGTCGATTGGCACACTTTGAGACGCGCACAAGCTTAAACTGTACACTTGCCCTTATCTTAATAAATATATGGTTGTCACCCGCGAAATGCACCTCATTAACGCCACCATCTTCCCACAGGCGCTGCCGTATGCCATAACCGTTAGCGAATCAAACAAGAAACGCGTATGTGACTACTGCTATAAGTTCAATCTCAAAGGGCGCTTGGAAGTATCTTGTTATGACTGTCGCCGGTCATTCTTCTGCGATGCGGTGTGCCGGGAGCGGCACTATCCCTCTCACAGCCGTTTCATGTGCAAATTACAGGTACGCTATGTTAATATCTCACATACGGTACATATACAGTCTACTTCTGCTATATTTAAACACTAGATTGTAATGCATGTTAATTCAGACCTATATATCGCCGTGTCGCGTTGCTATAAACATGTTCAGCGATGCTGCTCTATTTATCTCTCTGTTTGCTAACAGTGGAGGAATCTGTGTTTTGGTGTACTTTAAATGTGTGGCTCGTGAGATTGCCATCAGTAGCTTCCAAGTGGTGCACGGTGATCTCGATATGCAGTGTCTGATTCTGCAATAATTGTGCGAGGTTCAACCACGGACAGTGCTGTCTCGCAGCGAGACGTTGTGCTTGCCTCAAGGGACCACGTCAGGCCTATCCTACGTTATCGCATATGTAACAGCTATGCCGTGCCGTGCCTATACTCAGGAGCTTGTACCATGCACAAATTGTCTGTGCCCCTATAGCCAGAGTGCGTATACTTGAATGTCTTAAGGCTGTACTGTAGTCCATAGCACTTGCGATGGCGGTGTTGTATGTACAGGCTCGCTTGAGTTACTTTCGCTGTACTTTGTTAATATTCATCCGCGCTATTTGACAGGCGAAAATGAAGTCGTGGAAAGTGGACCAGGATATGATGAGTTTCCTACAACTGGTTGGGAACATTGCCATGCGCCAAAGATTAGAGAGCTCGGATAGCGTGCACACTACCACAGCTCCACCAAAACCCGTCCCTATCGCGACAGGTGGTGACGGAACACAAGACAATGACATGCGTATAATTGACGAGATAGGACATACTGCTAGTATACGACCATGCTACAACGACTGTTCGGCTAAGGTGTGGGCAGCTAAGTCGTATCGAACTGTGAGCGATAGCGCCAAAAGTGAACCGGGGATCCATGCCCAGAACGCTATTGTCGAAAAGGATTGTGAGGGTGCACATGCAGAGTATAGCGCTGGGCAATGTGATGACTCAAAGCGGAACGTGTTGAGCGAAACCGGTACGGATTTCGGTTTGCTTAGTACATCACCCGAGACACTAGAAGGCGCCCTGGAAGAAAGTTCGACAGATACCAAGACAGAGACAGATGTAGAGACGTATGAACCGGCGAGATGTTACTGCTACGACTTCATGCCATACGTACCCGCATCGGATATCATCAGCGAGCAGCGACTGGCTGTGGTGAGTGAAGAAGAGAAAGCACGGCAACAGACTAAGCTACTTGCGCGAGGGCTGGGGGCAAAGAGCCGAACCGTATCGCTGCTACAGACACCGCGCAAGGACATAACACCCCTGTCACACACGAGGAAGGTCTCATTTGTTGTCGCCCCGGATGACAAGCCACACGATACCAAAGCAAAAGTTGATCAGAAGCGAGCGGTGAAGATAGAGGGCGCCTCGAGCAGTGGGTTTGGGGGTCTTTTTGCGGCCATTGCGGATATGTCCGTGACTACGAAATCGGATGATAGTGTGGATGAAGAAGATGGTTCGGTGGAAGAGCTGGACGACTCCGGCATTGAGGACACATCGGGAGACGGGCTTGGTGGAATGATTGACCGCAAGGATCATCAGGACAATTTGAAGGAGGGTATGGGTAAGGATGAGGATAGAGTGTGTCTGGACGCGGAGAGCATCGATAGGGAAATAAGGACAGACAGTAGAATAAGCCACTCGTTGGTTGACTCGGGAGATAGGCCAGGAGGTGAGAGTACGGCCATGCAGAGGGTTTCCAATGGGACGACAAGTGGTAGTGGTATGTCAATGGAGGCGCGCGTAGAGCAGCACATTCGAGAGGTACAGGGCCACAAAGCCGTGCCCGCAATCAGCTTCAGTATCACAGATCAAGACGGTGATGTACAGAGCATTTTTAGGCCAAGCGACGGGCGGGGTAGTCAGGATAAAGTGATGCCGTCTGCACTCAGGCAGAAAAAAGGGCGGAGTGTGAGCTACTCTGCACGCTCTACTACGCGTTCGGATGGTGGGGAAAGGCCGAGTGACAGTGAGCTCAGGATAGCGATCCCGGTGAGGGATGATAGTAAGGATTATGTAAACATCCACTTGGGGGTGGTGGTAGCGCCGGAGGCCAAAGACTTCAATCTGCTCGAGTCTCACCACAAGACCTATGACAAGGATCGCGTGAGGGACCTCAGGAAACCTTTGCAGCAGCTGATGTCTGCCATGAACACTATTTTCGAGGCTGCCCCGGGCGCGGTTGTCAATGCTATGCCACTGACCCCTGCAGTAGCCTCCGAAACAGTCACAACCGACTCCAGCGCGGCATCAGCCAACCATTCGCCTGCGAGGGCTACAGCGACGGTAGAGGCCTGTCCTGTAAGCTTCGACGAGCTCTTGGCTATTGCGGGTCGTATAGAGTCCAACTGCTTTGGCTACAGGAATCGGAAGGAGAGTGTGCACACGCAGCTGGGGCGGATGGTGGTGCCCACAGCATCGTATTTCAACCACTCGTGCCGCCCGAATGTAACAGCCGAGTTTGCGGACTCGAATCTGGCGAGTTTTGTGGCCAAGCGGAAGATATATGATGGGCAGGAGGTATGTACTCTTGTCGCACTGTTTGTGTCTGTGCCGTCTTTGTGTGGCTGTAACTCGTATAGTACACATAGTTGTTCCAATTTCAATTCGGTTTTGTGCCCAATTTCTATGTTTGTGTGCCTTTACGTTTAGTTGGCAGTATAGGTGTGGATGTCCTATTTTCTAATAACTGTACCGTAGGCACATCACAGAAACGTGTGCTAATGTTAATAACTGTTGAAGTCATTTGTATTTCAATGCAAGGCCCTTGATGATAATCCATCTCATCATATTTACGATTAACTTTATTTCACTCGTAGGTGTGCATTTCATATATTGACGAGAACCTGCCGAGGAGCGAACGACAGTTCCGACTGAAGGATTCGTATCTGTTCCACTGCGTGTGTGCGAAGTGCATAGAGCCCGACAGTCAGAAGGGTAATCCATCCTGGTCGAAGAGTGTAAACGCCTACGCGAAACCGCCGTCAAACCAACCGAAGAAGAACAATAAGGCCATAAACAAGGCCACGAATAAGAAAAAGAAAGGCGCCAAGAAGGGCCGACAGCGTCAGGATGAATGATGCTTGAAAGTTATACAGTGTTAATTAAAGTTTAATAATATATTATAGATGGCCATTGTATATTTGAGTGAAAATGAAGCCCAAATTCCCTTTTGATATTATCAAAGCTTGATTGTTCATTCCATGCTACTGTTCACAGCTGCCGAAGTATATACCAGCGCAAGTTTTCTACCCACACCAGGGTCAGTGTTCGGCACTATTCCTTCCGATCGCGAGGCGACCGATGTGCCTTCCTCCGGCTTATATAGCGTCCATGTTTGTCGTATGCTCCGCCCACGATTTTTTTTCCTCGTTTTTCTCGCAAAAAGCTGTGTACCCAGCATCGACTTTGAGCATTGCTGTTTCTATACCGTACACCCAATGGCACACTAGAACCTAGATCACAGCAGGAGACCGTCTCGAGAGTTCCACAAGACTTTTGATGTATACGATTGATCGATTGCTGAAGTGGACACAATAGTTGCAAATATGTCTATCTTGGTACTTTGTTGAAACCCTATCCATCCTTGAATGTGACGAGGAGGGTGGTCAGAGACGTGTCCGGTCCGAAAGTATTTTTCTTCTTCTAATTCTGAAGAAAAAAACCCCTAGTTCTTTGCTTTGGAAGAATATAAAATCTATAGGATCGACGCGGTATAGTAACCTCCGAGCAATCAGGTATATTAATGTGATGCGTGTGACTCAGAGCGTACAAGTTATGCGATCAGGCAGTTACTCGTGCGTACTCCCGGAGACGCTCGCAGGCAGGGTAATAATACCAGCCCTACACTATAACTTGTGCACCGGATTAAAGTCAGTGACACACTATGTAGTAATAGGGTAAAATATTCAATGTATGCATTTAAAAAAGAATCATACGACTACCTGCAAGTGTTTACAAACTTTAACAAAACATTCATATAGAGTACGCGACCACTCATTCAACTATGGCACTGGTTTCACTTGTTGCATTGCAGAGTGCGAGCATGGGACGGGTTTTCTTGTATAACTGCACAAACGCACATGGCAGTACATTGGATGGTCGGTTTCGGTGCGTCTCAATATGCGTCAGAGCCCACTCGGCGCGTTCGTGAGGATCTTAAATATTGGGAGCCACATAACATCCATATAAGCTACATAGGGATGCTATAAGCCCGGCCCTCCGGACGATGCTCAGAGCCTAGATTCGCCCACATATAGTATCAGGTTGTTGAGTAAGCGCGCACTGGGTTACAAATAAGCCGAGCTAAGTACCCGGTAAAGGTTTATATGCGCGGTGTGCGGCATCTTGCTTAGACAGTTTAATCTACCATACAGATTGCGATTACAATGTCATTTTAATACATGTCCAATATGGGACTGGTAATAAGGTAAAACCAACGTACGCAGCTTTTAATGCTCTTCATTCTATGTCCATCCTAAATTAGTGGGGCAATGCCCAGAGACAACTGGCATCCAGATGCCGCGTCAGAAATCGGTGGTGACGTAGGTCGACGGGAAAATTCCTTTCTTTTTCGTCCGCTGTTCACATGCATATAAAAGTAAAAGACGATACTTATTCTGTTAGTAGATGTTCTGGATACATATACTCTAAAAGAATATGTATTCAAATAGTATATGTTCTGGAAACATATTCTACTAGTAGATGTCCTGGATATCATATCTGTACCATATTTTCCCGTGCTCAAGAGTCAAGGATATACTTTACTGGCGCTCAATCAAAAAGCGACAGGGGTACAATACAAACAATAGGAAATTCAGAGCAGAACTTGATACAACAACTAAAATAACGCAGATACGGAGAGCTAAAAATCAAGTAGTGCTAACGCCAATCACGCAATTCCAATGAAATTTGGACTGTGGCACAATACAAAATGCAGTCCATCAACTGGTTGAGCATAAATCGGGTGCCCTGAGGCCAACGCACACAGGCCTGTGAAACCGTGTGAAGTTCACTTGCACATACGAGCACACAGAGTGCTAAGGACAGTAGGTACGCAGAGAACTGATACACCTAAACATAAAGGGATTGTCTACTGCGTCAACGAGAACAGAAAAACATGCATACAAGCTAGCTACGCGCGCGTGTGTAACTTGATTTTTTTTTCGGCAACAACGGAACCGGCGAAGGTGCACTAGAACAATTATCGATAAAAATCTCGTCCTACTGCCGATAGTGTATAATATGTAGCAGCATTCTAGAGATTTGCTTCCAGATCAGCGAAACAGTTAATTTCATATGCAACACGCACAGCAGGACCGACGTTGTGTGTGCACAAACAACATTAACCACAACTTAAATTCCTTCGAACAGCCGCCCACATGGGCTATATGCGCTCGTGATAAATTGTACTGTACCTGATTTGTCCCCGTCCACCAGTCACTATCGCGCAGCGTAACAAATATCATATCGCCTTCTTCAATGCTCAGATCACCATCCTGATCTGCTTCGTAGTCGTACAGACACTTCACCTTGATGGGCCTGCCCCTCGACTGCGGCTTTTTGGGCACAGCTTGTCCTTTGCTATTCGTGTTCACACTACTCGAACTGTGTGGGTGAAGATACTACTCAGTATTGTGATTGGCGATGAAGAATAAAGTAAATTAGATGATAACGAAAGGTTCATGCCGACAACTCTAGAACCTCCCAACGCTAGATACCGTGTAATTTGCGCCACCGAATGACACTATAACTACCGATACTTCGTATGCTTTACACTCCGCGCATGTGGGGTAATGTACAGGAAGCGAAACAAGGTACGATAGTAAGGTATGTACACCCATTTTACAAACGTTTTCATATACAACTACATGCATACATATATACATATATATGTACAAATGTATATACGT